CGCAAAACTCTAGGTTTCGCTTTACTTTCGGGTTTCCATAAAGGAGTGTAACCTGTTTGAAATGGCTAGTAAAACTTAATGTAAACTTTACAAAGGCGGTGGATGGAGAGAGAAGTTCGTGAGCATCGAATACATTACGTCACCACGACTTGTTCTGGCTTGTTATGTTATTCTTTTTCTCAGTGTTGCCCCTTGTTTGGAAAGTTATTCCAGAAGGGCTTCTGATATCTCAGTTAAGGCAAAGTCAGTATGTGAGCCAAGTGGCCCATCAGGCCAGCGCTTACCTCCGGTTTCAATAGTGACCAGGAGTATTTCTACTCCCCCCTGGATGGGATGCTAGTCCATCGCAGGGTTGCCCCCAGCATTAAATTCGCCGGTACCCACTTATACACCTGGGTGGAGAGAGGCACTGTGAGTGTTAAGTGTCTTGCTGGTATCTTAGACGTGATAAACTAGTCTCAATTCCTTTTTAGTTGACGCTCTCTGTAGCACGGGTTCCCGAAAAACCCTCAGTGACGGATGCACCATTAGTGACGATTGCAGCACGATCACCTGCAAAATGGATTTTGTCGACAAGCCAATCACTTTTAAGCTCAAGGTAACCACTTTTTTATATGACTGAGAAAATTACTTCACTGTGACTGGCTGAGAGCAGCCCAATTTTTCGTTAACTTTAAATTTGCACAGCGGTGCAAATTAGCGTGCAAGCGCGTTCGTAATTTTTTCAGTCATACAATAAATGAGTAATACTATGAAAGCTCGAGCAATTAAGGATGCACACTACCCGTGATATTTGAAAATTCTTTCACATTGTACTCGCCTAAAGGCTAATGCAATTTTGAGAGAGTTTTCAAATATCACTCGTACTGTAAATCCTTAATTGAATTCGCATTCATACGATTACCTATACTATTAGTTCAAAACTCATTAGAAAGATTTTAGTTCTTAATCAGAAAATTCTTATCATTTAGTTTGTACGCTTACTTACATATTTTTGTCACATTGACTCTAAATCGATCTCAATAGTTTATCGTAGAGAGTACTTCATTTGTGTCAGTGATAAATCGTTTATACTCGCTTTCCAGAAAGGCACCTCGATTGACAAAATCAATCCTAGTTTCTGGGTTCGCTAGTCACCTCTTCAATCCCAATCCAAAAAGTAATTCTCCTTATTCATCGGAAAAAATTTCATTTTATTTAAATTCTTAAAATCTGGACATAAATCAGGACAACTGGTACTTTTCTTTGCTGTTGTCACTTGATCATCAGTGAGCACATTCAGCCAGAATTTCACGATTTTCGCCAACAGTTGTTAGGTTTGATGCTCAATACAGAACCTCATTTCTCACACAAAATGTTCTGAGCTATCAGCTAAACCTCAGATGGACCGTGCAATGACAAAGCATTCAAGAATTGAACAAAAAAAACTGAACCCACATACACGTGATAGAAAAAATAAATAAACAACAAAAAAATTATTGTGTGGAAAAAAAATTACCGATTTTATTAACCTTTCAGTTTAAACTTAACTAAACATGAAATTAATTTTATTACCCGTTAGGTCAATAAGTGTGATGACCCAGTCAGTGTAACCGCTTCGATGGACGTTCCAGATCTGCGTATCACCTGGTCTCACACTTACACCAGTGATGAGATCGTAGCAGTGCCAGGCTTCACTGCTTCCTTGTCTTCTTTCTTCTCCGCTGGTGTGTACGTACAAGTGGCACTAACTCCTAACGGCGACGAACTTCGTCTAACGGTGGGTTGTGTAGAACTCATGATCAATCTCGACAATTAAGTGAGGTTTTCCATACTTTTGCAAGCGATTTGGGGAGAGCCACGACAAAACTCTTTCCAGGGGTTTCTCTTCTTTTAGAGAGACCCTGGTAACAAGGTTGAACTGCGACCTGTTTTAACATATAGTGCCAATAGAAATGAACGCAAGCTTTGCAACCGAAAGTGTTCCGAATGTTACGATGCACACAGGAAATTTGGAAAGCATGAAAGAAGCATAATATTTTCATGAGGCGCAAAATACATAGCAATGCACAGCAATACACAGCCATGTACAGCTAAAAGAATGAATCAATTGCTTTATAACATTGCCAAGTTGCGAAGCTATGAGCGAGCGTCATTGGATTATGATGCACGCTTACGAATACTGAGCTCGAGTTTGATAGCGCAGCTTCGTTACAAGCGTTAGAGCGCGTTACCAACCTCGTTCCCAGGGCCTTTTCCCTGGCTAGCGCGGCTGCGTTCTAATTTGTTTTTGAGCCTCAAAACTCTACCTATTCCAAGTTTCGGAACTTAAACACACTTTTGCTACGTCATCAGTCTTCCCAAACACAAACGTGACATTCGCGTTATTTTCTTATTACAAAAAATGTTGAAACTGCTAAATTGTAGAGGTGCGGCGAAGCTTACGTTTTTGGAAACACAATACGAAAAAGGTCATATAATGCACCATTTCTTGACTCTCACTTTGTCAAATTTCAGTTTAAACTGGAAATAATTCCTCTACATTCATTTGTTTTCTTTTAAAGCGTGTCTTAAAACTTATAAGTCCGAGAAAATGGAACACAGTGTACAACATCGATAACAGAGACACGAACCTAGTGTAATGGCCTTAGCTTCCACAAGTCTTCTATAGGAGCTCTGTGGAGCATTTGAATTAGTAACCGGAAGGTCTTAGCTTCGACTCCTCGCTGGAGAACTGGGAAATTTTTTCCGAATATGCCTGCGTCACTGACAGAAAAACCATCTTCTCATTTGAGAGGGCTAGAAATCTAACGTAAGTTTTTGTCGTCTGTTAACAGGTGAAACTCCTGGCTGGAGGCGAGATTTTGGGAAATAGCGTTTATCCTGTGAAGGCGACCGTGATGGAGGGAGACCTGCCAATTAATACCAATGATTGTGGTACGTGTGTTTTTCTCTCAAAACCAACTGCTTTTTTTCAAGATTACAAACTACACATCACGTTAGCCTCTGATCTGATCAAATGTTTAATTCTCCTGGGCTCCCCGTGTTATACTATTTTTAGGACTTAAACAGATGTTCCACTTAACAAATTGACGTCCGTTTTTCATGAGTCTGTCCTGTTATTAATCATAAATTTCGTCATAACATTGTCAAAGTAGCTGTGGATCCACAAGGTGATAGCCGAGTAGATCTGCAGACTAATTTGACAATGTTATGACGAAATTCATTGTCAATAATTGGACAAAAGCATGAAAAACTGACACCAATTTGTTTTTTACGATAGCAAATTGTCAAATTGTCCGGTCTTGCTCGTTGACGCATCGCATAAATTATAAATTCATCTGTCTGTCCGCTTATTGACAATGAAAATTAGTCAATGAGCGCGCGGGAATTTCCGCAGTTATTGTAAAAATCTTAATAAAGAGACAAAAATTCACAAGAAAAATCTTGCTCAGTCTTCCCAGTCTCAACTGTCCATGTTTCTTTTTTATTTGTTAGTACCAATTTAGCTTTAATCTAAATAAGTAAATTAAAATTTTGAAATGTCCCTCCACTGAATCTTAGCTTTCATTGGTATATAAGCTTGTAAACGTTTTTTTATTCAGGTGACTTTGCCTGGTGGTATGACATGTCTGTTGTTGGTCAGGGAGCTGTGATTGGCGGCTCTCTTGTCTTCATCATCATCATGATCATCTGCTGCTATTGCTGCTGCTGCAGGTCCGACCAACCGAACAACCACGGGATGATCGTCGTACGACCTGCTGCTGGCCCTTCTTTCATGGCAACCAGCACCAACGTCGTCTTTCCAATGCAGCCGCAGGCCTAAAGAACATGAGACACCACGCCCTTTGCAGAAACCAATCCCGTACCCAGAGTATTCATCGGTTACTTCGCATGCCTGACAAAAGCGACTACTGTTTGGTTGGAATCATATATACCTAGGTTCTGGTCACGGGACTGCGCGAGTGCCCAACATGAGAGGAAATGCTTCTTAAGGCTGGTTTGACGTTTGTCGCGACGTAAAGCCTTAATAAGGAACAACTGATGTTTATCCAAAGTTTTCATCAATATTCGTTTATTTTGATCAGTTGAAATAAATATTAGCGAAGCTCCGACGGTCCGAAGGGCTGCCAAGCGGAGCCCCATACTCAAAGTAATCCGTAAATCGCTTTTCTCATTGGTAAAAATAGCTAGCGGCGTTGCTCGTAGGCGCGTGCGCACGACGACGACGATGTCGCGCAACATGGCGCCTATACTCCAGCTAATAGGACATGCGGCCTTAGTTAACAGCGTACATCTGATATTGGACATCCATTCTATGGTCAATTGACACCTGTCAAAACAAGGTGTCCGCTGACCAATATCGCGTGACCAGTATCACGTGACCAAATTGAGATTATCGAGACCACGTGTTTTTTGAAGTTAACTGCTGACCAAGTACCGGCCTTTCGATTGGTTCGCGGTCTCAAACCAGGTTAAATTACTGTAATCAAGGCCGGGTTGTTCGGAACTGAGCCGGTTAACGCTAACCGAGAATTAAAAGTTGCGCGAAGTATAAATTTTTCTTGTATAAAAATGTTTTTTACTGCTTTTGTTTGTGTAGTTTGAGATTATTCAAAATCAGAAGACCAAACAATTTAAGCAGAAAACCTCACCACCAAGTAAAAAAAAAAGTCAAATCAAAATTCTCACTTATCCTGGGTAAGCTCGGCCCAGGAGCTCCGCTCTTAGACTTAGCTAAATCTATATATTAGTAATATTATAATCTACACAAAAATTGGCAAAAGGAATAAACGACGTTTCGACATCGTCGGGAGTTATTATTAGATTTAGATTTATTGAAGTTTTCAAAATCGTTGCATCTTATCATGCTTATCACAGTTCGATGACATAAAATGGGGGTCACCGAGCTGTTTTTAACAGGTTACACTGTTGCTATGGTAACTGGGTAAAATGACAGGGTATTTGTATGGTAGCTTTATTGTAGGATCAAATGGCAAAGAATGGCAGTATTCAAGTAAATATATAAAATATCATGATTGAACTGCGGAGAATGATCATATCTGAAAAAAAACATCAAAATTTGATATTATTTTATTTTTACATTTATTAAAGCGACACACTTTTAACAAATTACACGTATCACAAATTACACCTGTTGCAATGACAATTTACAGAGTGTCTCCTGCCCGTTTCGAGAAAGATGTTGGATGGAAGCGTCCAGCATACGCGACAAGACCAAATGGTAGTAGGCTGCGTATTCATTGGAATTTTGCATATCGGTGTAGCCGGAAATAACACGTACAGTATCAGCAAGAATACATTTGATTTTCCAGTACTCATAAGACCGAAGAGTTTGCTGTTTTATGCAGCTTTTCTCGGCACTGTTACATAACTTTTAGAAAATTCAGGTGGCGAAAAGCTATGCTTCTACCAGTTATGATAAAGAAAATGTACGAAATGACATTTACCAATTTGTTTTATCTATTTAAGAATTCAGCGCATGCAGCAGCTCTCTTCTACTACCCATACAAACTTTCGGGTTTGTCGCGTGCACTTTTACGCTTTATTCCGACAACCTTTCTCGAAACAGCTGTATAAAGCACAATAAACCATTTTTGAGTTGTCTGCTCAGTGACCTGGTCTTAGGACGGCAGCGAGGCTTGAGTTGACCTTGTTTTGATACAGAACTCACTGCTTTTGTTGTGTAAAACAAGTTGTTTTGATGCTAACTGGGCGCATTTACATGACAAAAGCAGTGAGGTCCGTATCAAAACAAGGTCAACT